CAAGTTGGGTTTCCTTTGGGAATTTCCATAGACATGATTTTTATACTTCAAACTGTACATTCTATCCCCTAAACCTACAATTCATTCGGTTCACGTGACGTCCACGCGACCGACGGCCTCAATAATGCCTGCAATATGTTGAGCAGCCGAAAGAGGAACCCTGAACTGGTATTTTATTCTATACCAAAAGAAGAGAGAAGAGAAAATCATTTATTTAAAAGATTTGAAGTCTCATGTTGCTGGTTTGTGGTTAATTATATTTCTATTATAGACCATTTCACAAGATGTAAACAACACTGGTCCAGAAGCACTTCCTGTTTCAGTTTGTAACTGTTTTCTTTATTTCACATGTAAAGAAAACGTCTTAAAGATGTTTGTTTAACTTTTTGATTCAGTTTTAAATGTTCTGTTGGTTGTATTTTATCCCAGCTTTTATGTAGTGTTAAAAAAACTGAAACAGGAAGTGCTTCTGGACCAGTGTTGTTTACATCTTGTGAAATGGTCTATAGCCTACTCTCAGTGACCAACATTATACAAACAGATATCGACAGATAATGTTTTTTTTTCTTCATTTTAATTGTTGGATCTGTTTAAATGCACTTTATCGTGGTAAGTTATTAGATTTGGGGTTATTTTGAACATAACTGTCTGTCTGTCTGTTAGTTAATACCTAGCTAAATCTAATAAATATTTTTCTGAAGTTCATAAAGATATTGTCTTCGTCACATGCGATTTAGATGTTATTTTGTGTAAGTAATGTTAGCTCTGCAGATGATGCATAATCTCAGCCTTGAAATGCATATTAAAGGACTAGTTCTTCCAAAAATGATAATTATGCCGTCATTTAACTACTCACCTTCATGGGCAAATCCTTAAGTTTACTTTCCGTAGGTACGAAGGGACATTTTTGAATATGTAGCCTAATGGAGACTCTTCTTGTCGATGTAATGAAAGTGAATGAGTAACGTTAGCCTACTGAGTCGGTCGCAAATATGGCGGCGTTCTATTTGTAGTGACGTATAGGTGGCATGGATGAATAACAGATTTTAATATTTTTACCTTTTCAGAAACCATCGTTAATATGTATGAGCTGTTTTCCTCATGGGGACCAAATAAATTTCCCCAGTAAGGCCGCGCAACATATGGTTATATGGCTCCTTAAGCCTTCTTGTGGTGCTATCAGTCAATCACCCTTTTGTGAAACCTTGTTGTATTAATATAAATATGATATGATTAATAATAATTTTAAAAAAAGTGCTCTAATTTCTTTCTTCTGCAGAACATAAAGAAAGATATTTTGAAGAATGTCTGTAACCAAACGGTTGATGTACATCATTGTCTTCAATTTTTTTTTTTCCTACTATGGAAGTCATCAACTTTCATCAACTTTCTGGTTACACTGTAAAAAATATGTTCATGATTTGTAACATTTTTTCTTTTGTCAAATCAACTTAAATAATTTAAGTAGTTCAGATAACATAATATTTTGGGTTTCTGGTGATTAAAGCAATCTCCTTCATTGTATTAACTCAATTTTTCCATTTCAATGAACTTAAAATTTTAAGGCAACCAGGTTACTTCATTCATGTTTTTAAGTTAAACCAACAATATTTTTTTACAGTGTACTGACATTCTTCAAAATATCTTTATTTGTGTTCAGCAGAAGAAAGAAATTCATACAGGTTTGAAACAACTTGAGGGTGAGTAAATGATGACAGAATTTATATTTAAGTGAACTATTCCTTTAAATGGGTTAGAAAAGCACTGCAAAGTTCAGTTAATTCTATTTAATTTTAAATCAATTAAGTGTCTTTTTCAAACTGTTATCAAGCTAAAAACAAATGTTTTAAAGTGCAAATGTATGAAAAGTTGTCTAATGTTGTCCCTATGCACTCCAGCTATGTCACTGAACCGTCTCCAGACACACAGTAACGCAGCAGTCACTCAGCTGGGCTCCATGCTCTTCACCAGACAGGTGTCTGGGGCCAGGTGAGCATACATATACTATCCTGTAATTTCACTTCAAAGCAAAAATTTGATAAAGTATAGTGGATGTGAAGTCAGTGTCTAAATGATTAATCGCGATTAATTGTATCCAAAATAAAAATTTGTGTTTACATAATATATGTGTGTGTAGAGTATATAATTATTTTGTATATATAAATACACACACATGCATGTTTATATTTAAGAAATGTTTTGCATGTATATACTTGATATAAATTAAATTTGATTTGATGATTTATATTAAATATTAATATTTTATATATATTAGTAACACATTTTTTTTAAATATATACATACATGTGTGTGAATTTTTTTATACAAAATAATTATACATTATGTACAATTATATATTATGTAAACACAAACTTTTATTTTGGATGCGATTAATCGCGATTAATCGTTACCCAGCCCTAGTATATTGTTATATAATCTATAACCTTACAGTTGACTTACTAACATAGCCTTTTTCATGAAATGTTGTGAGAAGTGTGCTTGTTATCCTTATGCAACTTAAAGTTTGGTCTCAAAATACTTTCTGAAGAATAAAACAAGAGAACTTTAAGGCACTCTCAAGTAAAAAAGTTAAAAAGCCTTTATTAATATGGCTTGGTCAAATTCACCATCTAAAAAACTCCAAGGCATTCTGGCACATGCCTTCTTCTGGGAGTTAAAAGTCCTTTCTGGGGTCACTGTAGCTAGCTTACAATTATTTTTTTTTTATATATACTGTATACAAGCTGACTGATTAAATACTTTCACATCCCAAAGCTACATTTATTTTTCTTCTGTTTATATTTTCGGTCTCACTTTACTTTCCTTGTTAGTGTAATTACACATTTAATACAGAGTAATAATAATTACATGTACTTCCTAGCATTAGCATTAGGGTTTGGTTTAGGGTTAGTTACATAACATGTAATCACGCATCATTTATAGTTATTACTATAATAACTACATGCAACGTGTAACAAGGACACTGTAAAATAAAGTGTTACCATATTTTCTACTGGACACTAGATGATCTGCTGAAATATTGATTAAACTTTCTTTCTGCTGTCCACTTTCATTATTTAAAAGGGAGTCATTCTCATTCTCAAGGGTTTATCTTGTTGCATTATCCTTTTAGTCTGTCACAGACTGTGCACTATATCTGCAGTGATAGATGTGCAATGAATAAATGTGACACCATAATTTAAGCTTGAACTGAATGTCTGTGAATTTGGATAGAGCCGTGTAAAACTCTCTGAATTGGCTCATGTTTCGTTTCAGAAACTCTTTCGCCTGGAAAGAGAGACTCTATTTGTCTCCCTCGTTAATTTTTAGATGACCAGTTTAATTGATAATTTTTAGAAATCCATCATTGTGGTAATAATTAGGATGACACAACTATTTGTAACAAGTATTGAGAACTTTTGTTTTCTTTGTCCAAATTGCATAACATTAGATAAGGTACATCCTGGTTTGGTTTGTGGGTTCATCAATAGCTTACTGTAAATTATGTTTGATATTTAGGAAATCTTTGAGAAGAGACAGTAGACAGAAAAACATTTAATGTTTCAGTTGAAATAAATGATGGTGCCACTACCATATCGATACTACTGGAAATGTCAGTTTTCTGTCATCTGTCCTTGCCTTTTTACATCAAATATAAAATTCTATTCTTAATCTTGCTCAGATGACATATTTTTTTAGATATAGGCTACATGTTGCGGAACTTTTGTGTAGAATGATTCTTAGTGTAGCTAGTCATGCATGCAGAAAACTATAGCACAAGGAATGTCATGTATTTAAATGTATATTTATAATTACACATTTGTTGTAAAGTTGCAATTTAGTATGTTAAATGTTAATATTGTATTATTTCGAATAAAACAACAGTTTATTATAATCATGTACTTTACATGTGCTTTAGTATGTTAGGCAACACCAAAACAAGTGTACTTGTTTAAAACATGACAAAAAAATTATTAAAACAATGAGGTAATATGTTTTATAAGAAAACTGTTCATTTGACATTATCATAAAGTGCACTTTTTTAACTGTACTGTACTTAAGTGTGTTAAGAACTTCCCCTTTATTTTAAGGTGTCTTAGTATTTAAAGGAGTAGTTCACTTTTCAAAAAACTTTTGCTGATAATTTAATCACCCCCATGTCATCCAAGATGTCCATGTCATTCTTCCTTCAGTCGAAAAGAAATGAAGGTTTTTGATGAAAACGTTCCAGGATTTTTCTCCATATAATGGACTTCAGTGGGAACCAGACGGTTCAAGTTCCAAAAGAAACTTTCAGTACAAACTGCAAACTTGTTCAAAGGGCTTTAAACGATTCCAGATGATAAATAAGGGTCTTATCAAGCGAAACGATCGCTCATTTTTTTTTTTTAAATAACAAAGTTTAAGTTTTATAAGATCAAACGCTCGCCTTGCTCTGTCCTGTGGTGCACGTTCGTGACTCTCCTGTTTGAACTCGTTCAACAAAATGAACAAATCTTTTTCCGAATCAATTCGTTCGTTTCTTCAGCCGAATGAACCAAATGACTCGGAAATAGATTTGTTTATTTTGATGAACGAGTTCGAACAGGAGTGCGTTTGATCTTATAAAACGTAAACTTTGTTATTTATTTATAAAACGAGCGATCGTTTCGCTTGATAAGAGCCTTATTCATCGTCTGGAATCGTTTAAAGCCCTTTGAACAAGTTTGCAGTTTGTACTTAAAGTTTCTTCCCACTGAAGTCCATTATATGGAGAAAAATCCTGGAATGTTTTCATCAAAAACCTTAATTTCTTTTCGACTGAGGAAAGAAAGACATGGACATCTTGGATGACATGGGGGTGAGTAAATTATCAGCAAAAGTTTTTTTCAAAAGTGAACTACTCCTTTAAATGTATAATTACACTGTAACAGACTGGCTAATAATAATTAAACACATGTATTTACTAAGGTTAGGATTAAGGTTTGGTTTAGAGTTAGTTGCATAAAAGTAAGCATAATTTATAGTTATTAAAGGAGTAGTTCACTTTAAAAAAAAAACTGATGATTTACTCACCTCCATGTCATCCAAAATGTGCATGTCTTTCTTTACTGGGAACCAAATGGTTCAAGGTCCAAAAGACAGTTTCAATGTAAACTGCAAACTGTTCAAATGGCTTTAAACGATTCCAGACGATGAATAAGGGACTTATCAAGTGAAACGTTCGCTTATTAAAAAAAAAAAAAGTTTAGGTCAAATGCTCACCTTGCTCTGTTCTGTGATGCGCGTTTGTGACTCTCCCGTTCGAACTCGTTTATCAAAATGAACATCTTTTTTCGTGTCATTTGGTTCATTCAACGAATGAAGAAATGAACAAATTGAATCGGGAAAAGATTCGTTCATTTTGATAAACGAGTTCGAACAGGAGAGTCACGAACGCGCTTCACAGAACAGAGCAAGGCGAGCATTTGACCTTAAAAAACCTTGATTTTTTTTCGACTGAAGAAAGAAAGACATGGACATCTTGGATGACATGGGGGTGTGTAAATTATCAGCAAACGGTTTTTTTAAAAGTACTACATTAAAGTGTTACCAATGAAGGTGAACTCTCTTTAAATAAATTCACATGGCCTCTTATTTAATTAATAGGATATTATCTGCAAGTGCATATATAAACCAAATATATAATAATTCCGTCAACTTCAGTCACTTGTTCTGATGTAAAGCATATAAGATTTGTCTCTTGCGGTGTTGTTTGCTTTCTCTTGCACAGAAGAAGCTACTGAACAAAACAGTGATGTTTCTGTAGGAGAAGCAATGCGGAAATAAATCAGATGGCTTGTTCATTCATGCAAAATTTTGTTGCAGGGTGGTCCCACTGGGTGTGGAACAGAACGTGAGTGGACACACGTTCAATGGCTTCATGTCACACACGGATTCCTATCCGTGCCCGTACCTTAATGCAGCCTCCGCTATTGGAATAACCAAAGAAGACATAACATTGTGCATCAAGAGACTCGAAAAATGCCTCAAGAGCCTTAGCAAAGAAGACTCTGCAGAGAAGAGCGAGTCAGTATCTCCTGCTGAAGATTTGAAAGACCAAACCGTCCCTTAATGCTCCGGTTGTTTAAATATGATTCATATTTTCACAACTTGATATTGTGGCAAGCCTTGTGTGTGTGAATGTTGATATAGCACCGTATGGCCACAAATGCATCTGTTTGTTTTCTCTCTGTGTTGAGACTTCTGTTTGAAAGCTGTGTATCCTGACTGACAATAAATACAGATTATGTCACCATTTTAAATCATCTGGTGCTGTTTTTTTAAATTTTTTTTAAGAACATCATTTTGGTTGAATATACAGATGTAGAGGGAATTCTCAGTTCCAAGCAATATCATAACTGAAATCATAACACATTGAAAGAAAATTTACTGAAATGTAATGTCAATTTCACAAAGATGTAGTCTCTTGATATACCAAACCCTACAATTATTATCTGCAATGTATTCTTTTGTATTGATATAATAGACAGTGCTGGTAATGACTGCACTTAAAGGGATGGTTCAACCAAAAATGATCATCCCATAATTTACTTGCCCTCAAGTCATCCTAGGTGTGTATGACTTTCTTCTTTCAGCCAAACACAATCAGAGTTATACAAAAAAAGCAAGAGACATATCCATAATTATAACTTTAAACTCCAATCATTGGCTTTCGTTAATGGCCGTACGCGGAAGAGAGACATCTGACCTGATGTTACCGGAAGCCAGTGATCTTAATCTTAAAGGGGTCATGAACTGGCTTTTTAAATTTTATCATATTGTTGTCTGAGGTCAATTTATGATGTTCGCTTGGTATTTGCATTCAAAAACATAAAAATAAATAAGTAATAGGCTATTTTCTACCCTAGTTTTGAGCCCAGCTCAGAAACACTTGGTTTTTATGGGCGTCTCGCATTGAAGACTTGGAAGTAAACGCCCACTGCTATGAGTGGAAAACAGTTTTACATATTATAATGAGTTTCAACTCACCCATCAATGCACTTGGTTCCCCCAAGTGCATCGATGGGTGAGTTGAAACTCATTATGGAAATTGTTTTGAAAACGTCCAATGTTGTAAAATAGCAACCGAAATGATTCGCCCAAACATGTTTGACCAAGAGTCCGTGTGTTGCACAATTCCTGTCAGAACCAATATAGACGGCACAGCAACGTTCTTTACTCTTAATTGGTCTGCAAATCCAGTCTTGTTTACAAAACAATCCTCAGTGAAATGAAGCGAACAGACGGACAATGTTTTACCTCATCAGCTGGAAAAATAAAGTTTATCCGTGCAGTCCTATTGGAATCCAGAGGAAGCATATGCAGCGTCTGTCTTCTTTCACAACCAGGCACTGCTCAATATTTTGTATTCCTCGGTAGCTTGATCCGGTTTGTCATCACGAGGTAGACCTATGTTATTTAGCTATGCGTGTAATGCGCGAATCGGTGGGTGGGGCTAAACCGACCGTGTTGAAGTAGGCGTCGATCATCTTCTGCGGGGGTGGTGTTTTATCCTCTTTGACGTCATAGTTCCCCACTTTGAAAAACGAGTCGTTTGTTGGGGCTGGGGCTGTTAATAAAAGCTTTTATTGGACTATCAAGGACGTTTTCAGTTCTGAAACTTACAGGATATTCTTATAATATGATGACCTCTTACATGTCAAAAGCTCAAGGAAAATTTGATTTCTCAGTTCATCACCCCTTTAAACCAGTTACAATCCTCAAATATTTTGGAGGTTTCCACAGAAACTTTTTGGCCCAGTCTATTTGACGTACTTATAAAAACTCTCAGCTCTAATATAGACCATGATCCCTTCACTCTCAGAAAAAAAAATGTACAAAAGCGGTCACTGGGGCTGTACCTTTTCAAAAGGTACACTTTTGTCCATTTTAGGTGCTAATATGTACATTTTATGTGATAATATGTACATTTTAGGTCTATTGTACATTTAGGTGCTAATATGTACATTTTAGGTGCTAATATGTTTATTTCATGAGCTAATATGTACATTTTAGGTGTTACTATGTACATTTTAGGTGGTAATATGTCAATTTTAGGTGATAATATGTACATTTTAGGTGCTAATATGTCCATTTCATGAGCTAATATGTCCATTTTAGGGGCTAATATGTCAATTTTAGGCGGTAATATGTCAATTTTAGGTGATAATATGTACATTTTAGGTGCTAAAATGTCCATTTCATGAGCTAAACTGTGCATTTCAGGTGCTAACATTTTAGGTGCTAGTATGTACCACTAAGGTACCAATATGTAGCCTTTGGATACAAAAGTGTACCTTTTGAAAAGGTATAGCCCCAGTGACAGCTTTTGTACCTTCTTTTCTGAGAGTGTTGCAAGTCCTCTTTGGGGTTTCCTTTAGGCCTGCTTTGACATCGCAAGGTTGTTGCTTTTACTTCACTCTCGGCCTGATGGGCTATCCTTCTTGAGTGGAAGAATTCTTCTCCCCTGACCCATGACAGCTGGATAAAGGACATGTTTGACTGTATTAGACTTAAAGTTAAAGAAACTTACTCTCTGGCTCACTTAAATCCTTTTATAAGACTTGGGATTATCTTGGGATTTAGAATCAAATTAAAGGCCTATCTTACTCACCAGTAACTGACAACAAACAATATTTGCCAGCATTTAGAAGGATTTTTTTTTACTTTCTTTTATTTTGACTTTACCTTTTCGATTTTTTGCTTGTTTCTTGTCCATTTGAAGGTTTAATAATGGACTTACCATTGTCTTACCATTTACACTCTCATCAATGTATTCTGGATTGTCACACAAAACACCTATAAAAAAAGATTTGGAGTATTTTTTTTTTTTTAAAGAATGGATGTTAAATTTCACAAAGTGGTTGCACAATGCAGTGTTTAATAGCATCTGTTCAGTTTCGTGCCAGAGCAAGGTGCACAGTATCTGTTTTCATGTCAGAGGTGTTGAATCAGCTTCTCATGCTTCGCTGTAATGCATTTTATGTGCAGTCCAGCAGCATTTCTGTTAATGATTTATGTCGGATCAGCCTCTGCTGTTCTCTTACTCTGTCGTCTTCATCCACCGATCCTTCAGCTATACACTCCATATTCCAGCTGTTCAACAAGCTATGTCTCCTGGTCAGAAACTCTCCACTTATTGTTTATCTCACTGTTTTGCTGACACCGATTTTTCCTCCCACTTAGGCCACACTTATTCTTTTCCCCCCATCATCAATCACTATGTGTTAATGACTGCTCTTAAAGGTATGGTAGGCATTTTTTTTCATAAACACTTTTTGTTATACTGGTTAAAAATCCCGATGGCAATCGATATTATAAGTGGTCTAAATATTTTCAAATGTGAATATATCTTCTGTAGAAGTCTCTGGACCAAAAAATGTTCATCCAATCATTGGATTCGGTCCGAATGTCCTCAGAATCAAATTTATGCGTTTCTCTGGCTGCACAATCAATGCCGAAATGAAGCAGCAGTCAGGTGGTACAAGTAAGCCCTTTAAGTTGTTTACATTCATTATTATTGTAATGTTATGTGCTTTGAGACATGAGGTAATATAACCTCATGGTAATATAACCTCTTTTAACGCTTTGCAGAATCTGCACCGACACTCCGAAGGGAGGGTGGGATCTCATGCTTTAAAAGGTAGCTTGCTAATGTTAGCCTCTCTGAAATTGCCTACCCTACCTTTAAAGCTCTAACCTAATATACCTCTTTGATTTGCATATAGAACAAACAAATATTATTTTGAATAAAATGTCAAATAATAATATTTTATACATTGTTGCCAGTTTTGTCATATTCATTTCTTTTTTCAGATTTTTTCTTTGATTCACTGACTAAAATTAGCATATTGTGTTCATCAGTTGGTTTGGTTCCATATGAAGATTACATCCCAAGTCAAAATAAGTCAGAATTTTAAGTTAGAAACTCAGAATTTCAAAATAGTTAGACTTGCAAGTTATAAAGTCAGAATTGGGCGATATAAACTTGAAATTGTGAGGGGGAAGTCTGAATTGTGAGATTAAAAATTGCAAATTACCTTTTTTTTTCTCTTTTTTTTTATTCCGCCGCAGATACACGCTTCCATAATTTCCATCTTTTTTTGAGTAAATTAATGAAAAATACAAGCAGCCATGAGGCGTACTGTCACTGTAGAACACTAAATCTATATTGTTTATCTGCAAAATTACAGATAATTTTAAAAGAAGACTACTGCAGTTGTTTTACTCTTGTTTACTCTCATCAATATCTGAAGGATGTGTCTCAGTGACTTATCACCTACTTTAAGTGCTGTAAAAGCGATAATAGAACAGGCTGCTGACAATAGCATGTGTTTTTTTGCATTAAGGTAATGCTTTGTTTTGACCGTTAAATAGATGTTAGAATGCTGACGATTTTATAACAGCGAGATTGTCCATTAGAGTGCCGATAATAAAGAAAGGAAACAAAATAAAAATAGGCATATAGCAAAGCAGTATTATTGATGCCACAGAAGGTCTCTTAATGCATTATTGGTTTCTTTACTCACTAATCATTAAAGATGAATTAATCATGATTGAGTACAATTATGTAGAGTAATTGTTGAATATGACAAGAGTGCACCTCAAAAAATCTTTTGTAAATAAATATTTTGTAAAATATATGTTTTATATAAAATAAAAAAAATATATAGTACAGTATATTTGATTTACTGTAAATTTAAACTTCCATAACTTTTTCACACTTTCATTTGTTTTCACTTTAGAAATAATTTGCTGAGTGCTTTCTTTAAAACAAGACCAAACTTGGGTTTATATTCCAAAGCATTCTTGAATTACAACCGTTTAAGTTTGAATAGTGCACTTTAACCCCCATTCTCAAAAAGGGGGCTATAGGGATAACAAATTGTCATTAATTAGCAATCATGTATTTGTAGCTAGCCTTTGAAACATTTCAATGACTGGCTTACAGCAATAGCAAATCATGGTTCATGGCTGTATTTACGGATCCTTTGGCAGCTTATTCTGCTCAAACATAGGAAATACATCACCAAGGAAAGGAAACTGCACTGTGAGTGCATTTCATGGGGGCTTTGATGGTTTTTGAAATTACAAGAGGAGAAGTCGTTCGTTTTATTTTTTATTTTTTAGAAGGAATTTTCAGAATTACTCAATGAATATTGGCCATCATCATCGAGGCTGTTTAACCACCATCCACCGTTATTGGGCGCCCTAATAAATAAATAAGTCGCGAGAGGAGCTCTGCAGCCGAACTGCTGATGTC